TCCTTATCCTCTTCTGAATGCAGGCACATCGTATTAATCTGTTGGAATGTTTGTTTGCAGTTTATATTTGTTTTTAAAAGTTCTCCAGCCATTCTTGACTCCTTCATATTTTCACTGAGTGCCAGGGCTGAGCAAGACCCTGTGGGGGTGGGGGGTCTCATGGGGCCTATTCAGTGGTGTAAAAAACAGACCCCTCCCCCACACGGAGCCTCAATCAGGTGTTCAGGCCTTGTCCTGAGATATCAGGCTCTGTGGCTGCCCAGTGCAGCCTCCTCCCTGGCAACACTAGCAAGCGAAACCAGAGCAAGGAGGAAGAGTGGGCTGGCTACAGCAGAGAGGGGGAAGCCACCTGGCCAGGATGTGCCCAGTACGGGGCTGTATGCAGCCCTCCCCAGAAGAGCCACGGTGGTCTGCCTGTGCACATGAGGAGACTGATGCACAGAGGTGGAGAAAGTTCCAGTGAAGTTCAAGCCCCTGTGCCTGGGCTCCGTGCTCTTCCCTTGGCCTTTCCTGCCTCAGCTACTGACTGGGGCATGGACCACACATCACTGGGAGGAATGTCCCAATGACAGGGTCATGAACCACCAGTTTACTAAGCCTGCATCCACATCACCTCATTTAAAAAACAAGCATTGACCTAAACTCAAAAGGTTTAAAGAAAAAAAAAAACCTTCTGTTTTGTAAGAAGTAAAATTCTAATGTCTTTAATATGACGACTTTCAAAGGCAATATGTACTATTAATATTTATTGGAAACCTGACTCGGATTTTCAATAGAAATGATTATGTTTGAATACATATAGTAACCAAGTAGTTTGAATCTATTAATTCTCAAATGAAGCAAGAGATATTATATAATAATAAATGTCTTCTTTATTGATGTTCTTTTTATATTGAGTTTAAAATCTATTAATATCTAGCCTTTTTCCCTAATCCCCTTTTCTACTGGAATTTATTAATGACTACATTTCTTTATTAAAGTAGATCTGCCCTTTATTTCCAGTAATAGTACCTTTGAAGAGCAAGCTCATTAATGATTTGTAACTCCTTGATATGAGTAAGGAATAAAGCCGTTTCGTGAGTGTCACTGCAAAGACAATCACAATTGCTCTGCATATCACGTAACACCCAGGTCACTCATGGAAAATAATTACCTTCAATTATGATGAAAAGAATTGGTTGAAAACAAAATGGACATTATTCTGCCTTTTGTGAGGAATTACACCATTAGTTCTTCTTGAAGTTAAGCAAGGCTTTTAAAAATCCAAGGTGGTAGCCATGTAAGGAATGGGTTATTTACTGTAATTGCTTGAGAATGCTGCTTTGTGTGAACAGTGGTTTAGATTAATTTCCTGCTTCCTTTTAGATGTTGTCATATGGCTTAAAAGGCTCTATAAAAGGTTATTAACATTTAAATGCCCACTTGAAGGATCACATCTTGATTGAAAGTCCATGAGGTTTCATGGAGCTCTGAGTCTGCAAAATCACAGCATAGCCATCTTGCCTGCCAAATCACAGAATCCTCAAGAAGAGGGTCATGAGATGATCTCTGTTTACATTTTAGACTACTGGCCAGTGGCCATCCCAGTGAAATTCCATGAAGCTAAAAAGCCTCTTAGATATGATTTCATTGTCATTAGTATCTTCTCTAAAGAATAAGTTTTTAAACTTAGGTACAAAATGGTTACCCGATTTTATTTGGATAATCCTAGGAATTGAATGTTAATCCTTTTGTTTCTATTATTAGGCAATTTCCAGAAAGAAATGGGTTCTAAACTGTTTTTTCTCACCATTCTTATATTAATCTAAATCTGAACCATTTCCCATTGCCCCCCACAGCACGGTGGTTCCTATCTGTGTCTTTAAAGAACAATCCAGCTTGCAGTGAAGTCTCCGCGCTTCCCAGCTGGGTAACAGCAGACTTCCTCCTGGCTTTGCCCTGGGTCAAGCCACTTCCTTCTTTGGGGTGTGTGTTTTTTTTCACTAAATGTGAAGAGAAGCCAGAGGATGGGAACTTTCCAGTGTTTACATGGGCACTGAATTCACTGTGACCATTTTAATGGATATGAAATGCTGGTTTGAATCATTTCACAATCATTTCTCGCCCGCGTTGATAGTACAGCACTCTCACCCTCCTCTTTTGCCTGTACAAGCGATACATAGACCTTCAATCTGATGTCTACTTAGATGCTTTAAGATATACATTTTTATACTGTCATTTATAGTCATGTGTTTTTTGGGGGGGAGAAAAAACTTGTGTTTTTTCACCATTTCTCCAGGACTCTGGATCGATTTGGAAATGTCCTACAATGGGTCCTTTCTGATGACTCTCGAGACCAAAATGAATTTGACCAAACTAGGTAAAGAGCCTCTTGTTGAAGCCCTGAAGGTTGGAGAAATTGGCAAAGAAGGGTAAGGGGCTATATATGAATTCATTAATTCAACCCTGGGGGACCAACCTCTCCCTCCAGTCTTTGAGAAGCAGGTTTGATGTATAGTAGCCTCTGAATGTTGAGTGAGCTTCTGTGTAAGTGCTTGTGGACTACAGTGTTTCAGGGAACAGTTTCCTAGTTTCATCCCCAGCAGTCTGTGAGTACCCAGCCTACTCTGCTGTGACAGTGCTTTTTGAACTCAGTGCTGGCAGTGATGCATATGGTATCAATTACCCAAAAAGCATCACTGGCTCAGGCAAGCAGGGCAGACTTGTCTGAGCCATAGAATGGTCTGTGAATAGAATCATCATTAAGAAAGTTCTTTCTTGGGCCGGCCCGTGGCTCACTCAGGAGAGTGCGGTGCTGATAACACACCAAGGCCATGGGTTCGGATCCTATATAGGGATGGCCGGTTTGCTCACTGGCTGAGCGTGGTGCTGACAACACCAAGCCAAGGGTTAAGATCCCCTTACCGGTCATCTTTTTAAAAAAAAGAAAGTTCTTTCTTCACTCTTTAGCCACAAACAGCAATGTGTAGAGCAGGCTAAGGCCCCTAGGGGATCTATCTGCTTTAATCGCAAAGTCAGAATTATTTATTATTAGATGATTGTTTTGTAGCCAAGAGAGTGCTTCTAAGGTGTTCTGAGAAGCATTTTCCCTAAATAATACAATACTGATTTGCTTAGTAAATTCCTTTCTTTGCACACAGTGCTTCTGCTGCCCAGAGTTTGTCTGATATAGTAAATATTCCAAAATTGTGAGATAATTAAGCTTTTTTTTTTTCCCTTAAATGCCTAGAAT